GCTGAATGAAATCTAAACACATTGTGATTGATTTTGTCAGAAAAAGAACAATATTCTTTTCTTTGCTGTGTTGCTACCGTTTCAGCTGAAATAACCACGGTTAACCGTCGGATGTTAAAATAATCGTGATTCAGGGTCGGTTTTCTTCCGGTTTTGACAAAATGAGTTGAGTCTCCACTCTCGTCACACTCTGTTTAGATTTCATTCAGCATAAGAGGTCATTTTTTTATTGATCCGAGGCGATTTTAATTTCATTCAAGATCGCCATAATCTTGGAGTTTGTCACTATAAAATAGAGAATGGTGACGTAATGTCTTTCCCTATTGTGCCAAAACTATGATTAGTAAGAAGAAGACCACTTCCTAAGATCGGACCATAAGTATGGTGCTTTTCACATTTGTCTGAACAGTTGTTCAGTGAAAGTTACGAGACAATGAACAACGTCGAGAATTTCGACTAAATTATGCAGTAGTTCGTTGGACAACCTTTTGAGTGCCCTTTTTCTTTCTGTGCCGTGGAACAAAATATCTACCTTCTTTGATCTCTATTAAGAAGGAAGAAATGTGACGGTGTGTGCTTTTCCCCTCTGTAATCCCTATTCGTCGTTTGTGTGATTTTTCTTCTTTTTCTCTCCGAAGAATGCATGACATGTGTTAAAACAAGCTTGCAGTGTATATATCTTCTTTTCATGACAGTTTAATGAACGTGACGAAAACTATCTGTCACAATAGTTTACGTTAATTTTTTTATTGACTATACGGACAATACAAACTGGAAGTCATGATCTAATTGCAAATTTTTTCATACAGCAAAAAAGTGAAAGAGTGATTGGTGTGCGTCTCAACTCTTTTTCTTTTCGTCCGCTTCATGAAGGATGATTATCCAGCTCCATGTAGAATCTGTCACATTTCAACATGGCCAAATATTGTTTTTTCTATAGATGTGAATCATTCACTCTAAACAGAATGTGATTGATTTTGTCAGAAAAAGAACAATATTCTTTTCTTTGCTGTGTTGCTACCGTTTCAGCTGAAATAACCACGGTTAACCGTCGGATGTTAAAATAATCGTGGTTAAGCGTCGGTTTTCGTCCGGTTTTGACAAAATGAGTTGAGTCTCCACTCTCGTCGTTTAGTACCATTTTTATGTCACTAGGGATCTTTTAATTGTGCCTGCTCTTAACCTAAGTGTTTCTGCACAGTGAGCAATGAAATCTTGCAATGAAAGCTCACCAAGAGGATTATTTGTAACACTGGTGGCATCATAGATATTCAGAAACTTTTTGAACGCTTTCACTCCAGTTAAATACGATTTCGTGGTGGTATCAGAAAGTGCTACCGCCTATAATTTTGACTTCCAGTGGTTGACAGAATTTTGAAACTTATTCGCTCCTCCTGGAAAGAAGGAATTAACTACCTAAGCTATACTTCTATGTTTATTCGGTATGAACTGGTGAACACGGAAGAAAACTCGACCTGAGGATATAGTAATGATGATAACGGCGGAGTTTCGAACTTTTTTCAACAAACTAGCGGTGGCAATGCTTTGATAATTGTTTGGCAAATTGGTGTTTCAAATTGACTAATGAAATCATAATGAAATGATATATCAATTTGTAACATGTTCTCAAAATTCATACTTAAATCTTGTGTTTGTTTTTGTTGTTCACATAATTTATTATTTACATCAAGCAAACGTTGTGGATTATCATTTAATTGATTAACATTGTGTTCTAACTTAGATATACGATCATTAACGCCACCATGATCCATTACACTACTATCTAATAGTGGAAAATCGGTGGGATTATATCGATACCGAATATCTCCAGTCATATCTTTCGGAGATAATAACGATTTTGTTAACACCGCCCGATAAGATTTAATTATTGGGCATCTAACATCACTTGATTCGTGTTGTCCTTTGCATCTAACGCAAGACTGCCGCCCATCACATTCATCAGCATGCAATTTAATATCTCTAGCTTCTTTCCCACATGTCCTACATTCGTCTAATTTATTCATACACGCGCTCCGAAAGTGTCCAATTTCGTAGCACTTAGAGCACACCAAAACCCGTGCCGGGCATAAATACTCATCGTCAGTAAGAGCATAACGCTGATGGTTGAAATAAAGATATTTCTTTTTCAATAATTCATCAATAATTTGGATACTTTTAATATCTAACCGCAGAAAGGAAGTTTGTTCTTTATTTTTATATATGATTCTGAACGTATCGATAATATCTGGATATTCGTTTCGTATCTCAGCTAATAGTTGATCAGCAGAAATACCAGTAGAGGCACATTCCGTAATAAAACTGAGAATTGTGGTGGTAAATATTTAGGTAGAAATTTTTCATAAGTTAATGTACCTAATGTCGTTGGCCAATTGTTAGTATCAAATAATACTAGAAATACATGCCGATTTTTTACAAATAGTAATAATTCCCTTCTTTGTTTTAATCGATGACCATCTAGTTCCAATTTAATTTTACGAACTTTTGCAAAATAATCATCTAATTCATTTAATATACCTTGCTCTTTAACGTCTTGTGTAAACTTCACCATAAATGGAGGAAATGGAAATCTCGTTTCCGCGTAACGCCGAGCTTGCTGTGAAGGACCATTACTTAATGAGTCTATATGGTCATTCTGACCATTTAGGCGAGATGTTGTCTTATGAAGAGGCTATTAATGTAACAGAGAACTTGAAATACTAGGTGATGAAACCGACATATTATCAGTACCTGTAGCCAAAGTTGGACCAAGAGTCGAATTGGATCCAGACATTGTAGTTTCCGCCTGATGATATGCTGTTTTTGATTTCTTTTTAAAATATTGTAGCTCAATACTAGAATTGTATTGATCCATTTTTTCTGGAATATTATCTTGTTGACGATAACTACCATGATAGGCAGTATGTTGCTGCTGCCTTGATAACTCGTTCATTTGTTTACTAAGGTCGTTATTTACTCCATAAGATGACATAGATACGCGATTACTAAATGTGGACTGGTTCTTTGTGGTCGTGAAGAAAAAGGACGTTGATTTATGTCGTGATTGTTCATCATCCTGGGTAGCTGCTGCTGATAATGAGTCATACAAGACCATTGTTAACTCTGATTCCTTTGAACAGGTGCTTTATAGCCATATGAATATTGACTTAAGTTGTTCATTGAATATTGCGGATATTGTTGATATTGATGTAATGAGGTCGTAAATGATGGATTGACAGATGACTGGTCGAACGATTGGAACCCACTTTGTAGATCAGAAGTGGGAACAAAATGATTTGTACTATAAACCTTATAAAGATACATTCGAATTAGGGCTGCAACTTTCTGTCTACTTTATTTGCACAGTGAGGAGAGGCATTTTTGCATTAAAACAAAGTAAATCAATCTGCTACAGAGGCCATATTAATACAGTATGCTTTAGTTAGAGAGTAAATCAGATATAATGGAAACTAAAGGTACTTTGAACTTCCTGGAATAAAACAAACATAAAGTTGGTGCTCTAATTCAAACTTTTCTTTATATGACTACATACGGCTATGGTGTAATCATGGCTGCTTCTTCGTTTGATGTAATCTTCACCATTTTTCGGTTTTACAGAGATTTCTTTCTTGTTGCCATCTGTATAAAACTTGTGTAAGATCAGTGCTCGAATATGCCTGTGTTATCTATGATTCAACCTTTACCGCTCACCTTAATATTCTGAACAAAATTCTAGTAGAATTATCTCTCAAGAGTTTAATAGTTCCTCTTCTTATTTGTTCAAAAAATTTAAAATTCAACCACTTCCTAACAGACGTCTCTACTATCGTCTGCTATACTTTCATAAAATATTCTATAATAAAAGTCTTCTCTCATCGTTTGATTTGATCTCACCGCTAACTACGCGTCAAAATTCTCGATTAGGTCATAATAACAGCGTTTTCATTCCTCGTCTAAAGCTAAAATCTGCATCCGGCTCTTTCGTTCAAAGGAATGGAATGAACTTCCCTCGGTTTTAGCATGTCAGTCTTCTTTATCTGTATTTAAACGTATGTTAAGAGGTCATCTAGGCTTTCAATAATTTTGATGTTTAGATCTACTCTGTCTCTTAAAATGTATTACACATATGTTTTCTTTCACAATGTATGTGTTATAGTAGCGATTCTTCTTAGAAACGTTTTAGTTTAGGTTATCATGAGGTGTCTCCGGATGCCACAAGTCTTTTTGGTGCTTTTTTGTGATATCCTACCTTTGTGTAAAATAAAATTTCAATTCAATTCAATTGTTCTTTTTCACTCTCATGTTCCTAGCTTTGACCAGCTATTTTTTTTAAACCTTTGGTAGCGATCCTGTTGAACACACATTTACTCACATTGTACTTTAGTTAGTCTATTTTCTCACTGGTTGGTTCCTTCAAAAGCTAAAATTCATCCCGTTTGTCTTTACTCCAGACTAGGCATGCAACAATCACAAGCTAGGACTCGCTGATGGCAGAGAACGATTCGTTACCGAACCGTTCGGTGCCGATCATCGAGCCTTAGCTTGGGATTGCTGCATGCCTATTCATAAGGGACTTTCCTGCAGAATGTTGTTTGAGACTCTGCTATGAGCGTAATAAGATTCTTATCAGATTTGGTAAAAAACTTTCGTCTGGGAAATGTCCTTTCTTTTTAAATAAAACATGGTCAACTAGATGACAACTGCTCGATAGAAAGATTGAAATTAGACTGAATGAAACGAGCGTTATAGAACAGAAACAAGCTGAATGTATCTCAACTTCAAAAATTTAATCATATGAAGAACATTAGAGATTTCCAGAGAACATCTAATAACTCATGCACGCTGAGAAGTAATGTGTTGGTGTTGTAACGTACACAAACTTTATTACACGTATCTCTGTCTATTTTGAAAATCCTATTTGTATAGAAATCATCCATTTATTTAAAATTACAGAATATGCTTATGGTTAGAAAACCTACATACAGTGTAGAAAAACGTTAGGACAATAAGTATCTAGCACGTGATTATTCATTCAATGGCTGCGATTCGTTACATTGCTATGTTGCGGGTCTTATCATATGCTCTTACACGCATAGACATAAGTTAATTATATGACATGGCATCGGTTACATAAAGATCTATTATCCCGGGAACAAAATTCTGTTTTAGAGGAAAATGTTTTCGTTTTTCAGGACTTACTGTATGATTATTAAAGTCAATCAATTTACTTTCTATGTAGTAATGATATTATTTTCAATAATTAAATTGTACAATCAAAATAAACACCAGCATTGCTTACAATAACAATTATATCTTTTAGATAATATTGAATAAATCGAAGAACAAAATCAAATTTTAAGCGTTCACCTACCAACCAATAGAATATACATCTGGTATTCCATAAGAGAATAAGAAAGATAGATAGATTTCTTGTTGAATAAATCTTAGATAAAATAAGACCATTGGATCGGATCTCATCTCGATTATCCAAGCCATTGTATAGGCAATCTAAAGAGTAGAGGTGACCTTATATCTAGAAAACAGAAGTTACATTCACTCTTGTTTTCCAGACGGATCAGCTGTGTTATCTCCACAGGAATAATAAAAAACAGGACCATCAAAATATTAAAGTTCTTTTTTAGAATTTTCTAAATGACATGAATAAACTTCTAAAAAACAAACTGAATTTATTATGAAAAATTTTGTAATATCTGGATGTATAATCTATTTTTGACTCGATATCAGGTAAAGTCAGGATTAATGGACTGTTCTTAAAAGAAGTCTTGTGCGTATTGAAATTTTCTATCATAAATTATATTCAGCAGTAATTTTTTATTGAATTTTGTAGCTAATTTAAAAACTAAGCCCATATGCACACTACTTACTGATCCATCCCACTTACACACATTAAACTTTTTATTGTATTTATTGTGTTATTTATTTTGGCAGCGTGAAAGTTAAATCTAGAATGATTCATAGTGGAGAAAATACTCTTTCTCTGAGAAGTCAGTAGAACTAGTCACTTTAAAACTTCTCTATGTATTCTCAGCCTATGCTTTGTGATGATAAAGTTTAGAAATTGAGACATGGTAAGAAAGGTAATATAGAGGAGTTCAGAGAAGTTGGAACGCGTCAAGATTTGGTGAGGTAAGGTAAGGTAGAGTAGTTCTGAGATGGTCGGTGAATTTAAGATATGGAAAGATAAGGCAGTGTTGTGAAGGTAAGATAAGGTAGGGTACGTTTTTGTGGTAACGTATGGAAATACATGCTAAGAGATGATAGACGTTAGTATCGAGAGGTAATGGAAGGGGACTGAATACGAAGTTTCCTTGCTTATCGAGTTTATTGTGAGAGTTAGGCAGTATTTGCACATCAGCCGGCCGTGTGCAGGATTTTGAGACGCAAAGACTTATTGGAGTCGCTCAGTGGGGGGCGGGGGACGTGGGTTGTGAGAGTGAGGAATAAAACAGTATGTCTGCTGCTGAAGTACTTTGGTGACGCAGCGATTTAGCTTTTTGCTTTGAGCGGGGAAAAATACCTTGTGTTTAGCATTGTTAGTTTCAGTTCTCTGGCAAGAGTTTATGTCATCTTATGGTAGGTTATCTTAAGATCTTGATGCTAGTTTACGTTATATTACTTTACTTGAACTTATGTTGACTTCTCTATCTTACCTTATATTAGCGTAGGTTATCTTATGTCACTTTTCCTTGCGTTTTCGTATTCTAGTTTACCTTACTCAACCGTAACATTTATGTCGTCAGTCCGTGGTAAAGTGGCTTTTTTCGGACTTCTCAGAAAAAGAGTATTTTCTTCGCTCTCGAGACGCTAATTTCGAATATGAATATGATATTTTCATTGCGTTAGGGTGCTTTTTTCAGACCTCTCAGAGGAAGAGTATTTCCTCCGCTCTCGAAAGATTATAGTTTAATATAAATTATTTCATTTGAAGAAGACAAGAGATCACAGTTGTGCACTATTTCGCTAACCACCGAAAGCGAGACAAGTCTCATTATTATCGGTGATAGAAAAAAACATGAAATATTAATAATATAATAACTGCTAGTAAAAAACAGTCGGGCAAAACAACATAACAGACAAAGAAAAGAACGTTCGCATAACTACATGTATTATTATTTAAAAATTCCTAGCAAATACTAAAGGGCAGTTAGAAAACTAAATTATCATAAATATGTTCTAATAAAAATATTATACATCGTTCAATTAGTTCGAAAAAATGTTTGATCGATCACTGTTTTGACTTGTTTGCCGCAAAAAATTAAAATCAATTTTATACTACCACATTAAATTTCTCTATCGTCACTACCATCGCTAATATTCAGAAAAGATTCACACCTTAACGGATGATGTTTTAGCT